ATATGAAAAATAAGAAGAAAAAGAAGAAAAGAAAAATAATATTTATAAGCAATGGATTAACATCCGATAAAAGTATATATGTATACATGTATAAATGTATACATGCATTTAGTGTAAATATACTGTACAACATAATAGAGTGATCACCAAATTTCCCAAAAAATAAATTCAAAATCATATGAATGCAATCAATTTAATATTAATTTGACTTTTGCATTTTTATAAACAAATCAATTTATGTCTAGAAATGAAAGTTGGCTTACATTAGGCATATACTGTATAATAGCCTACACTGTGCACGGATTATATATTTCCGGGAGTTCGGGAATAATCGGGAGCCCTTTATTAACTGTTCCGGATAATATTTTGTAGATTGTATCAATTAGAATAATAAACAATATTATTTAAATTAGTTTGGGCGATTTAAACATGAGAATTGTCTGAGTGACCACTTTCCAGGGCTTCCGAACATCGGTAACAAATACCGGCCCCACGGCTTCCTCTCTGACCGATTGAACCCGAGTCAAGTGTTTTTATATTTAAATCAACTCAAGTAAGTGTAGAGGCCTTCCCGACACAATTGAATTGATCCCTGGTCAGATAACTACGCTTTACCGCAATGACTCTAAACTTTTGTCACTCTTTTGAAAAAACGTTTTTTACTTTTGGTCGCTGCGACCGAACGGTAAATATATAAAACTGATCAGAGTATGGATTTCAATGTTAAAACGAGTGAATTATAAATATCTGCATTTAAGTTTTGTTGAGAGAAAACGCAAATTGTTTGCATGTTTTACAAATAATATTTCATAGAAAATTATATTTTTATATAGATTTGTTAAAACTTATTATTTTTATCAATTTGTTGCAAACTTTTAATTACTTTTATGAAAAGTTAGTGCTTGCCATTCAATCTATGAAATGTAACTTAATGTTAGACTTGAAATAACAATTTCAACTCAATTATAAGTTCAATATTTAACTCCCGTTTCATATTTTATATACAGAATATTTATTATCAAAATTCATAGACTTAAAAATATATTTGAGTTAATTTAATCTTAATTAATTAAGTTAAACTTATGCTACAAAAGTGATCATATAAATTACATAAACAATCAGTTTAATCACAATTATGTCGATTTTGTATACAACTTATTTGGCAATCAATACTTTATAAAAGTTTAATTAAAATACACAACCATTAATAAAATATAATACTAAATAAATTATGATTACAGTATATTCGTGATTATGTACAACAAAACTATATGAACTCTATTTGAATGGAATGAATAGTTAATTAAATGTATTTCCCGAGGGTTTGGTGAAAGTCGTCTAAACATGAGAGCAATTGAGGGAACGTTGGTCTCGCTTCGGGAACGGCATTCCAGCAACAGATCATTATATCGTATCTGAAATTCATAGGAAATGAGTTTAAAAATAGTTGTCAAACAAAAATACTAATCAAAAGTTGTCTTACAGTCTGTCGGGACAGTTGATGGGCTGAAAGAGTCGGTAGCCATCCCTCAAATAGGCGGCCATTTCGAAGGGATCGACTTCGAAGTATGGCTGCTGTCCTAATGTCATTAGTTCCCAGAGAGTGACACCAAAACTCCAGACATCACTGGATTGCGTGAACTCTCTCTTCACTAAACTTTCTAATGCTAACCATTTGAGAGGTCTGTTCTCATTATCACCCAAACAGTGGTAATCGTTTGGAAATAAATCCCTTTATTGACACAAAAATACCACAATTAATGAATAGAACTCTTTAACAGATAATTGATGGACAAAGACATACCTCGAGAGCGCATGATCTGCTACTTTGACTAGAAATGAGTTTTGATCTGAAGTCTGGACGAAACAGTTTCTTGTGGCCAAATCGCGATGAATGAGACGGCGTTTGTGTAAATAAATGATAGCCGACACGATTTGAAGCGCCATTTGGACCAAATCTTGAGTCAGAAATGTGTGGATTTGGCCGTCGAGTGAGTATTTATGAGAACTCGATGTCTGGAGAAAGTGCTTAAGATTTCCGCCATTCATATACGGGTATATGAGTAGCGGTCGCTTAGGGTCATCAGTACAGGTGCCGATAAGACTCAGAAGGTTCCGGTGTTTGAGTGAATAAAACCTCATCCCTTCAGTCATAATGAGCGAGATCTGCAGTTTGGACGCCTGATCGGACACTGTCTTAATCATAATCTTGGACTCAGCGCTCATATCGTTAAAGTCTGCGACAAATAGGCCGCTATAGATCTGGCCAAACGTCCCCTCATTTAGCTTCTGTTGCAGCAATAGTTTCCTCCTTTCAATGGGCAACTCATTCGTCCGGTCACTCATCGTATCACTGGATCTGTTGGCGGCGCTGTGTTTGGCGTGCATTATGTGTGCGGGCACTGAGAGAGTCCGGTATAGGGAGACGGGCGGTGCGTTGAGAAAGCCCCGGAAACTCGAGTAATGACTGGCGTTCTTATTAATGGTCAGATTGTTAGGTGTGTCCACTCGGAAGTAGATTTGGCCCGACTTTGTGGACGACAGGTTTGTTAGACTTCCCGTGAAACTGGTTTACAAATACAACAATCAATTCATTTGTGCTTTCATTTGACGCATTGGTTCACTCACTCAGCAGTCTGTGTCTGTCTTTCCTTTCTGGGCCTCACGTAATAGAAATAACACGAGAGGGCCAACACTCCGACCACTAGTATGAGACCACTGGCGCAGCCGACTATTATGTAGAGATACGACTCGTAAGCGGACGGATTGGTGGCCAACACGGGCTCATCCACTCTCACTATCTTATCGTCCACTTTGTCCACACTTTCAT